CCCTTCCCCCTCCCCCCCGGTGCCCACGGAGGGAGGGAGATTGATGGGGGACGCTTATTAAAAAACATTGTAACCGTTTCCGTTTTTATTACGTTGACAAGGGAGCGTTATTTACTGTTATTGTTCGGCGAGCGGGCCGTGCCGGAGCGCGGGCGGCCTCCCGGGAGCTCACCTTAGAGCTGTCCCGGGAAGTCGCGGGTTCGGGGAGGGGGCGCCCCGACAGCCCGCGCCCCCGGGGGTCCTGCTCCTCGCTTCTTCCCCGGGCCGGCTGGGCCGGTCCCCTCGGCGGGGCGAGCTTGCGCGGGGAGGCACCGCAAAGGCCCGGTGACTCTGTGGAAGGAGAAAGGCAAGAAAAAATAAAAAAGGAGCAGATGACTTCATTCCCGGGAAGGCTCCGTCCTACGTGGACCGATTTCCTGGGGACTGTGATGGAACAGCCCCGCTGCCGTTCGAAGCACTTAGAACTAAACCAGATAAAGACCAGAAAATGCTCTGCCCTGCCTGAACCGTGCCAGGGTGGGCTGGCGGGGCGTGTGACCCCAGGCGCGGGGAGGTGGGTCGCATGCCCCCACCCGCGCCGGGTCGTGGCTTCCAACATCCTAGCGTCCTGCCATCGACTGTCCCAAACCTCCCCACTTAGGCTCCTGTACCTTGAGAGGGAGAGCTGTTGGCCCAAGGTCACACAGCTAGGTTTTGTTTGCTAAGGCTCTTGCCAGGACAAAGCCGGTGGAGGCTGGTGTGAGCCAGCGGTTGGACGAGGGCCTTGGAAGCGGGTGCGGCTCAGCTGGGGGCCGGCGAAGGGAGATTAACTCTTCCTGGCCAGGCTCCTGCTCACCCCTCTGGATCCCTGCGCTGGGGGGGTTGCAGGGAGGTGCCCACTGGGATCAGATGGGCCTGAAGGATGTCCTCATCCCCCAGACCCTACTGGGATTTGATCTCATGCTGCTGCTAATTAAAGTTTGCAATTCTGTCCTAACCCAACTCTTCTCTCTTGAACATGATTAGCTCCAATGTAAACAGTTCCTGCTCTGGACAGGGAAGCCAGAGGAAAAAGGCCTCTGGAGTTCACACTATCAAATAGATTTTTTAAAAAATATTTACACTTACAAACAACTCCTAATGAACAACCCAGGTTTTGGAAACAACTTTCAGAGACCCTCTCATGCTGTTTTATGTGTTTTTCTCCCTTCCAACGACCTGAGGCTTAGGATTTGGTCACTGGGGTCTCTCCCCACCTCTTGGCCTTAGATGATTCTCCTTAGATGACCAACGAGGAGGGCTTTTCCAGCCCCCAGACCCCCTCTCCAGACATTCTGGAGTCTAGCACCCCAGGCCAATTCCTGGAGAAGGCCTCTGGATGTGGGGCGTCACAACAAGATAGTTATTTTCAGCTCTGTTCCTAGCATCAACCAGCTCTCAGTTGCAGAGCCCTCTCTGAATGCATAAACCAAAAGTCTCGGGTTCCAAGAAGAGAAGGTGACCCCGTCCACTTCTCCCCTCCCACAGTCCTGCATAGAGTGAAAGACAAAGAGCTCCCCAGCCCTGTGATATGGCAAGCAGAGATAAAGGTGGGCGAGCCAACCAGCCCCTCCACTCTGGCTGTCACCAGCACTCACCCAATAGGCTGACCTTCCAAGCAAAACTCATCTCTAGCAACCGGTAGCAGGTTCAGAGGGTTTAGATTATATGGGGGTCATGCCCCTGGGCAGTTTGACTATGACTGAGAGATGGCAGTTGACATCCAGCGTCACAGAACTCCAGAGATAGGAAGACCATGGAGATTGTCCAGACCAACCACCCCCCACCTTCCTATTTTACAGAAAGGCAAACGGAGGCCCAGAGAGGAGAGACCTGTCTGAGATGTACCACTGGTTCGTGGCAGAACCTAGACAGGACCCAGGAACCTTGCTTCCCATTCACACTCTTCCTTCTATCGAATTATCTGTGTGATCACAAGTTTGGGGGCTGGGGGCGAGATAACCATGGTTAGTAGGAGTACGGAAGCCAGACTACCTGGGTTCAAATCCCTACTTCTAAGTGAAACCTTGGACAAGCAAATTCTTCTCTCCAAGCCTTGGTTCCTTTATGTGTTAACTGGGGATAATAATAGTGCCTATCTTAAAGAATAAAGGACATGATGCAGGTAGGGCACCTGGATTAACTAATGCCTGGCAGAAACTAGTACTTAACTGATGTTGGCAGCAATGATGTGGTGGGGATGCTGGTTGTTGTAGTGGGTTGAATGGTGGCCCCCCAAAAGATAGGTCCACGTCCTACTCTCTAAAACCTGTGAATGTGACCTTATTTGGAAAAAGGGTCTCTGTAGATGTGATTACATTAAGGATCTGGAGACGAAATCATCCTGGATTACCCGGATGGGGCCTAAGTGCCATCACAAGTGTCCTTGTAAGAGATAGAATAGGAGAAGGCCATAGCATAGGCCTCAGTGTGGACTGAGATGGAGATTCAAGTGATGCAGCCACAAGCCAAGGAATACCTGGAACTACCAGAAACCGGAAGAGGCAGGAAGGATCCTTCCCAGAGCCTTGGAAGGGAGCACAGCCCTGCTGACACCTTGATTTCAGATTTCTGGCCTCTTGATTTCAGAACTGCGAGAGAATAATCTGTGTAGTTGTAAGCCACCAAATTTGTGGCAATTTGTTACATAGTCATAGGAAACTAATGCAGTTGGTGATGTTGGGGATGATAATGGGGTGATGGTGCTGATGGTAATGATGATGGTGATGGTTGTGATGATGATGATGGTGATGATGATGGTGATGATGGTGATGGTGATGGTGGTGGTGATGATGATGGTGATGATGGTGATGGTGATGGTGGTGGTGATGATGATGGTGGTGATGGTGATGGTGATGGTGATGGTGGTGATGGTGATGGTGATGATGGTGATGGTGGTGATGGTGATGGTGGTGGTGATGATGATGGTGATGGTGGTGATGGTGATGGTGGTGGTGATGATGATGGTGGTGATGGTGATGGTGATGGTGATGGTGGTGATGGTGATGGTGATGATGGTGATGATGATGGTGATGGTGATGATGGTGGTGGTGATGGTGATGGTGATGGTGATGGTGATGATGGTGATGGTGATGGTGATGGTGATGGTGGTGATGGTGATGGTGGTGATGGTCATGATGGTGGTAATGGTGATGGTGATGATGGTGGTGATGGTGGTGATGGTGGTGGTGATGGTGATGGTGATGGTGGTGGTGGTGATGATGATGGTGATGGTGGTGATGGTCATGATGGTGGTAATGGTGATGGTGATGATGGTGGTGATGGTGGTGGTGGTGATGCTGATGGTGGTTGTAGTCATTTTCTAGAGCTGCCTCCAAGTTCTGGAGGCCAGAAATTCAAAGTCAAGGTATATGCAGGGCCACGCTCCCTCTGCAGATGCTAGGGAAGGATCCATTCCAAGTCTCTCTCCTAGCTCTGACAGCCTCAGGCACTCCTTGGCTTACAGATGCATCACTTCAGTCCTCTAGTTCCTTTCTTCACATGGCCTTCTTCTCCCTGTGTCTTCACAACGTCTTCCCTCTATGTGTGTCTGTCTCTGGGTCCAAATATCCCTGTTTCATAAGGACATCAGTTGCATTGGGTTAGAACCCGCCATAATGACTCATGTTAACTTGATTACCTCTGTAGATACCCTAGTTCCAAAGAAGGTCATGCTCTGAAGCACTGGGGGGTAGGATTCAAGCCTATCTTTTTGGCAGGACACAATCCATCCCATGACAGTGGTGATGATGCAGGTGATGGTGGTGATGGGGGTGATGATCGTGATGACTGCAGCCTGGAGGTGAGAGTGACAGTGATGGGGACAGTGATAGGCCTCAGCCCTGGACCCCCAGACCCTGTAGGTGCTACTTTGGGTACCGTGGTCAGTTTACAGGCCCTGTGGAGGTCAGGAGTCTGTTCTCTGCAGTGAAGAACAGGGTTGGAGTGTCAGCTGAAGGAGCAGAGAAATTTAAAAGATGATCCCAGGATCTCCCTGCCCAGTTGGTGCCACAGGAGAAGCCAGACACCCTTCAGGAAGCTCTGCCATCTGCCAGCTGTGAGGCCTACAGCAAGCCCTCTAACCTCCCCTGGCCTCAGGCTGGGGCCTGAGGTTGCGGAGGGAACTTCTCAGCTTGTGGGTGCTGAGTCTGGCATTCCACGTGCTGCTGAAGTGGGAGCCTGGCCGCATCACGCCAGGTGTGTGTGTGTCACAGTGAGTGGACAGCAAGGAAGGAGGGGCAGGTTGTGGGGGGCTGGATAGAAGACCCCTTCTCCCCCGGGTTTTGCACTTGCTTTTTCCCTGTCACATGCAAGCACTTGCTATTTTTGTACACAGCTAAGTTAGTGCTCACCTTCCGGCCCCTCCCAGCTGCCAGAAATCTCCCTGAGGGTAGGGAGCATGATTTGCACGTCTGTGAGTTGCCCAGGGCCTGGCCTGCTCCTCAACAAGTGCAGAGTGAGTGTGGGCCTCTTTTTTTTTTTTTTTAAACAACAGCAAGTCTTTCCTTTCTCTTTCCATTTGGGCACAATGGAGATAAGACAAGGTGGGGGTGGCCACCTGTTTTTGAATGTGATCTTTCTCCCCAAGACCTGGGGCTACCCAAGGAAGCTGGTAGAACAGCAGTGTCAGCCTGGCCTTGCCTGTCTTCCGGAACCGTGCCGCCTGTAACCATGGCAGCAGGAAGACTGAGCCCGCTGACAGAAAGCCCACTGGTCTTTGGTCTTGAGCGGAAGACAGCAGGGTCAGGCCACTCTTGGTTGTTGGCTTTTTTTCTTATTAGACACAATTACGTTAACTCCCTTCTCGATCTCTTTCTGCAGCTTTTGCAGAGCAATAATGATAATAATAATAGCTGGCATTCATTTACCCAGTATTTACAAGCACATACTCTTGCCAAGCATTCTTCTTTGCACCAGGAGACAGTGGACAGCAAAGCAGAGTCCCAGCCTTTGTGAGGCTCACATTCTAGGGAAGGAGAGACAAAGAACAAAGAAACAAACCAACACTGTGATCCAGGGGCAAGACGAGTTATAAAGGAAACCAAAGCAGGGTGAGGGGCTAGACAGAGAACGAAAGGGACGGAGTTTGGAAAGGGAGGTTGGGGAGGTGATGACACACGAGCTGGGACTGGGTGAAGTGAGGGAGTGAGCCCTGTGCGGAGCTGGGAGCAGAGGTTCAGGGCAGGGGCAGCATGTGCAAAGGCCCTGAGGTGCCTGGTGTCCTGTTTCTAAGGCCACCTGAAGTCAGTGGAGCATGGTGGGCAAGAATGAGCCAAGAGTTGATTTGTGCTTTTAAACAATCTCTCTGGTTTCTGAGCGGAGAATGGACTGAAGGGGCCAGAGGGAGGCCGGGAGAACAGGTAGGACTGGGACAGTCCGAGGAGAGATGGCAGAGGCCTGGTCAGTAACAGCAGCAGAGGAGACGATGAAGATGGCTGGATGTAGGGTATATTTTAAGTAGAGCTATAAGGATTTGAGAAAGGGTCAGATGTGGATGTAGGAGAAAGAAAAGAGTCAAAGAAACTCCAATGTCATGAACAGTGGGAGAGATTTCCTGAGATGAGGAAGCCTGCAGGAGAAGCTGGGGTGGGGTGGGGATCAAGAGTTGGGGTTTGGGGGCCGGCCTGGTGGCGCACTGGATAGTGCGCCGCTTGGGAAGCGCGGCGATACTCACATATTGCACAATTACGAATATGGGATACTGTCCCCAAATCATTTAATGCACATAACCACCCTATAAGTTGAGCTCGATTATTATCCCCATTGTGTAGATGAGGAAACTGAGGCCCAGAGAGCTTCAGCAATTTGCCCAGGGGTCAGAGCTAGTAAGGGTA